TGTGTAAGAGGGTGGACATGTGTGTATGGGTGTTTGCATGTATGCAGACAAACGTGTGTACATGTGTATGTACATGTGTATGGAGGACAGGTGCTGACATCTGATGTCTTGGTTTTTCTCCACTTCTTTTACCTACGGTCCCTCTCTGAACAGAGCTTGCCTGGTCTGTCTCTGGGTCAGCTATGACCTCCTGGTTGGAGATCAAAACTTCACTCTTCATGCTTGCATGGCAAGCATTTTATCTAATGAGCCATTTTCCCAGCCCCCGAGAACTCATGACATATTCAAAGTCTCTTCCTGGTTCTTCTTTATTAGAGATGGAAAAATCACTCTGGTCTTATCAACCATCTATAACCCTAAGAATGTTTAGTTTACTGCTTTCTCTTTTCCGTGCCAGGGATGGAGCCCGGGCCTTGGACACAGTAGGAAGTGCTATTGCTTGAGTTTCATCCCCAGCCCTAGCTCATCGTACAGACCTTGTTTTTCAAGTACCCTAGTATTGGGTCCCTGGGCTACCATCTGCCTCTGTACATGTCTACATCCCCAGGATCAATGCGTGAGTCCCGTCTACCACCTCACACCTCAGCCAGTCTTCATACCTTGTTAATTCTTACCTGGAATAGATGTGAAATAACATCCCTCCCACTGCCAGAAGTCTTTCATCTCTGTTATCTCATAATCTGGTGTATTTACCCCTCCCTCCTCCTTCCCTCTCTCTCTTCCTTCTTAATCTAACCCATTTCTAATATTCTGTGTAGCCCACGAGGTGGCTTACCAGGGAGGATCTTAACCTGCATCTGTCTGGAGTGGGAGAATCATGGCGACTCCCTGACTCAGCTTCTTTTTCCCAGCTTCCTGTTCTGTTTTCTCTGCCTACCTAAGGGTTGCCTATCAAATGGGCCTAGGCAGTTTCTTTATTAATAAGAAATCACTTCCACATCTTTCTTTCTTTCTTTCTTCCCTCCCTTCCTCCCTCCCTCCCTCCCTTCCTCCCTCCCTCCCTCCTTCCCTTCCTTTCTGTTTGTTTTTTGAGACAGGGTTTCTCTATGGAGCCATGGCTCTCCTTGAGGTCACTCTGTAGACAGGCTGGCTCCCTCTGCCTCCCCAGTGCTGGCATTCCCCATTTTCTTTAGTTACCACCTTGCTCATCTTCTTGACAAGCTCTTATTCTGTTGACCTGTTAGCCATTGCATAGACTAGGCTGGGCTTGTCCTCCTTCTGCCTCAGCTTCTCTGCAGGAATAACAGTCCCAACTTGGACACCTCTTTTTAGATATCTTATGCTTGCCCCCCCTGAATTCTTAGTTTATACCCTTTCTCTACTTTTCTCCTAGGTCATATGTTCTTTATCTGTTGATTTTCAAGATTTCCAATGTGTGTGTGTGTGTGTGTGTGTGCGTGCGCGTGCGTGCGCGCGCACACACACACCCTCTTTATTTTACCAGATATTAACTTCTCATGTATTCGTGAGCATGTCTGGAGTGCACTAATATCCCTTTCATTCCAGCACTTAGAAAGTGAAAGCAAGGGAATCAAGGTTAAAGATCATCCTTCATTACATAACTAGTTCAAGGTGAACATCGGACCTGAAAAAACCAAAGCCAAGGGGATACAGAGAGGGCTCAACAATTAAGAGCCCTTAACTATTTTTCCAGAGAAATCTAGTGACAACAGACAGGTCACAACAACCTGTAATTCCACCTCCAGGGAATCTGACTCCCTCTTTTGGCCTCCACAGACATAAGTGGAAGACACATGCACACTCATAATTTTAAAAAATTAGTTATTTTTTTAAGAACAATAGTTTTAGTACAAAACTGTGTATGGATCAGTCTCACCGAGTGGCAGAGAGGCTTTGGTCTTGCTCCTGGTTAACTATGTGGCATATTCCTTAGGGACGACCTGGCCCAGCTGCCCTTCCTGACCATGTGCATCAAGGAGAGTCTGCGGCTGCATCCTCCAGTCACAATGATCTCCCGATGCTGCACCAAGGACGTTGTGCTGCCAGATGGTCGGGTCATCCCCAAAGGTGCCCTCCGTATCAGTGGGTCTGGTTAGGATGGTGGTCCCCAGAAACAAAGTGGACCTTTTCATCATTGTCCCCTTACTCGACAGGAAATGTCTGTGTCATCAGCATTTTCGGGGTTCATCACAACCCTTCCGTCTGGCCAGATCCTGAGGTGTGACCCTACCCTTTCCCCAACTCTGGGACCTGGGGAAGAGGCCTACCTGGGAAACCATCTGGCTTTTTCTGTGTTTGTCTTTTCTGCGGCCAGCAGAATGTAGCAAGAGACACGACCCTTTAGCATAGTCTTGCCTGGCTTGCAGGTCTATGACCCCTTCAGATTTGACCCAGAAACTCCACAGAAGAGGTCGCCTCTGGCTTTTATTCCCTTCTCTGCGGGCCCCAGGTGAGATAGGTGATCTTGGGGTAAAGCGGGGGGGGGGGGGGGAATCTGGGTCCGATGGGGGGGACAGAGGACAATTGGGTCAAGATTCTGGGTCTCCTTACCGACCTTTGCTTGGGTTGTGTGCAAAAGGCTGCAAAACCCGGGGTTGCAAGGTCAAAGGCTCTGTACTCGGAGTCCTGCCCTGGTCTGAGTTGGCACTGAAGCTATGCCCCAGTAATACGGAAGGCCATGCAGGGTCCCAGGCACATCAGTGCCCTTCTGCCTCTCACACTGACCAGGCGCATCAGAGACCCGGTCAGATTGGGTCGGAGGGTGTGTCTGGCTGGGGAGTGCCTGCCTGGGTCCCGGTGCAGTCCCCACCCTATCTTCCCGCAGGAACTGCATAGGACAGACTTTCGCCGTGAGCGAGATGAAGGTGGCGCTGGCGCTCACACTGCTGCGCTTCCGAGTCTTGCCAGACGACAAGGAGCCGCGCAGGCAGCCGGAACTGATCCTGCGCGCGGAGGGCGGGCTGTGGCTGCGGGTGGAGCCGCTAAGCACGGGTACACAGTGACCTCCACGCCTGGCCTGGTTCCACCCCACCCACCCGCCTTTGGATTTCTGAATAAGTAGAACTGTCTTTTATGCCTGGGCTGCGAGCACCAATTAAGAACTTGACGCTAAGATTCTCACTGCCTCTTGCTGATGAGTGTTCTCCTGGAGCTCAAGCCTAGACTTCATCCTATGAGAGCTACCACGGGTGTTTTGAGTAGGAGAGGGGAACAGTCTTTCCGGCAGAATTGAGTCTCTGTGGTCATTGAGGCAAACCCTTAAATTCACTACTATTTGCCAGCCCCTGGCGTCCATATACCCAAAGAGTCTGGAATGTTCGCATGGAAGCTCCAAGCCCTCTTCTCTGGTGCTGCCTCAGTCCAGACTCCATCCCTGAGAAAGTCTGCCAAATGATGGGCCCCTCCCCAGGGATGCTCAAAACTACTCCCACAGGGTATTAAAATGACACCCCCCCCCCCGATTAACAAACACATGGGGTTTCAGTCTTCCTTTCCTGTCTCCTCTCTGCGGGGCTAGAAAACCATCCCGGAGCATGATATGTATTAAACCTGGGCTTTTTCTAATTTGGCCTGATTTGGATTATTGCGTTGGCGGAGAGGCTTATTGGGATGCAGAAACTTTCCAAGTACGTTTCCACCTGTTCATCCTCTTTCGTCAGACTTAGCGCGATCCTCCTGCTGCTCTGTCTTCTGGATGCTGCACTTACAGAAGTGGATCGCTACCCGAGACCTGACTTGATAAGGGAGAGTTGTAGAATCTGAAGACGATTGCTCCTCAAGCTTGGAACACTGGAGGATGGTGTTAAATAATTTCCAGGGCCTGTGATAGCTAAAGCAGCTAAAATTTAAACAAAATCATACTGACAGGCTACCCCGCTTTCTTTTGTCTTTTCGGCAACCTTGCTGAAATAGCGAGTCTCTCTCTCACTGTTTGCAGGAGGCTCTGACAAGCTTACCTTATAGAATCATTTCCCGGCTTTGACTTCTCTTTTCCCGTCACAAGACCATTAAAACTGAAGTTCAGGGGCTAGAGTTCAGAGGTTAAGAGCACTGGTGGTTCTTCCAGGGGTCCTGAGTTCAATTCCCAGCAACTACATACATGGTGGCTCACAACCATCTATAATGAGATCTGATGCGCTCTTCTGGTGCGCAAGTAAACATGGAAACAGAACCTTGTGTACGTAATAAATAAATTAAGTCTTAGAAAAAAATTAAGTCTTGGCTTTTGCTCTAGGCATGCTTAGTTTAAAAAAATAATTGAATTTCAGCTGGGCATGGTGGCACATGCCTATCCTTCCCCTACTCAGGAGGCTGAAGGAAAGGATCATTAGAGACCAATGATTGAAGTCAGCCTGGGCTACACAGTGAAATACTGTCTCAAAGCCGGGCTCAGGTCTATTGGTAGGATGGTTGCCTAGCGTGCAGGAAGTCCTGGGTACCAAACCCAGCATCCCATAATCGTGTTACAAGACTAAAATTTAGTACTTGGTAGCTGGAGGTAAAGGTCAGAAATTCAAGGCCATCCTTGGCTGCACAGCAAGTTCCAAGCCAGCCTGGGATACACAAGCACTGCCTCAAAAAAAAAAGTTATTGAAAATAAATAGTTTTACCACACAGTGGTTGCACACACCTTTAATCCCAGCACTTGGGAAGCAGAGGTAGGCCTGGTCTACAGAGCAAGTTCCAGGACAGCCAGGCTGTTACACAGAGAAACCCTATGCCAAAAAACAAAGTAGCTAGCTAGCTAGCTAGATGATAGATAGATAGATAGATAGATAGATAGATAGATAGATAGATAGATAGATGATAGATAGATGATAGATAGATAGATAGATGATAGATAGATAATAGATAGATGATAGATAGGTAGATAATAGATAGATGATAGATAGATAGATAGATAGATAGATGATAGATAGCTTTCTTTTTTTTCTTTTCTAATGTGAGAAATGGCTTTAGAGCAAAATTCTATTTCAAGTCCATTTAATTTTAGGTTTCTGCCCTTTTCTAGATTGTCTTTGTTTTTTTTTTGTTTGTTTGTTTGTGTTTTGTTGTTTAGGGGGTCAGTGATGGGGTTGGGCCCAGAGCCTAACACATTCTCCCCTATTGAGCTACACTCCCAGCTGACCTCTGTATTTTATTACCTTTTCATGTCATGTATTCACTTAAAGAATTGGAAAGGTATTCACGTTTGAGAGTTACAAACAGCTAGAAAAATAACTGAAATAACTTACCATGAACGGAAACAAGTCTTGCACGAGGTTATTTGTTTACAATTATTTGAGACAGAGCCTCACTGTGGAACCCTGGCTCACCTGGTACTTGCTAGGGAGACCAGGCTAGCTTCAAACTCACAGAATTCACCAGTGTTTGCTTCCTTGGTGCTGGGATTAAGTTACGTGCCTCCACGCACCGCCATTATTGCTTTATGTTAAAGTACATTTTCATGGGGGCGTGCACATGCCACCATGCATATGTGGAGGTCAGAGAACAGCTTAAGGGAATCCGAGTCACTGCCTAGAACCCTGAACTGATGCAGGCCAGCAGGTTTGGAACAGACTGCCTTCCCTACTGACTCGCCCCACAATCCCGCAAATGAAATTTTAAATGGTCTTACTACATTGGTGACTCTACTCTTTGGTGTATCAAAGTGATAATTACCTTTGACTTTATACCTTTCAGACCACACTCACCCCACATCTGAACCTGAGGGGGCATCGCACAACAAGAAAGATCTTAGACTTTGAGCAAATCAAGGGAATTGGTGAACTCTGGGTAAAATTCCCTTGGGAATGTTGCTGTGTGCCCTTTGTCTGGGAGAATAATAGAAACTTTGTATTTGGGTAGTCACTGGGGTGGACTGTTTCAAGTGACTGCAACTGCTAGCTTTTGGCCACCATACTCAGTATTCCCATAATATTTATTTATTTATTCATTTATTTTGAGATTATAATGTAGTTATAGCACTTCTCCTTTCCCTTTTCTCCTTCCAAACTCTCCCGTACATCCTTCCCCACCCTCCTTCAAATTCATGAGCTCTTTTTCATTAATTGCTACTATATGCATATATGTATGTACATATATATTCCTAAGTATATCCTGCTAAGTCTGGATAGTTCCTTGTGTGTATGTTTTCAAGGCTGCCTGTTATTTATGACGGGTGTAGTGGTGCAAGCCTTTATCTCAGCACCCAGGAAACTGAGGCAAGTGGATCTTGTGAATTCAAGGCTAGTCTACACAGCAAGTTCCAGGACAGCCAGGACTGGAGAGAGATATCCTGTCTCAAAGGAAAAATATTTATTTTTATTTTATGTGCTTGAGTACACTGAATGCAGAAGCATAGGTGCCAACAGAATCCAGAATTGGGCATTGTGACCCCCCCCCCAGATCTAGAGTTACAGACAGTTGTAAGCTGCCTTGTGGTCCTGAGGACAGAACCCTGATTCTCTTCCATATCAGCAAGTGCTCTTAACATCTGAGCTGTCTCTCCAGCCCCATGATTCTCATAACTGTATAGTGTGTTACTTTTATTTTCAAATAAATTTTGGCAATTCTGTGCCCTTTGAGTTTTCACATAAATGTCATAATCAACTGAACACGGTAGTGCACACCTTTAATCCTAGCACCCAGAAGGCAGAGGCAGGTGGATATAGGGAGTTTCAGGACACTTTGACCTACATGGTGAGACCCAGTCTCAAAATTAATTAATTTCAAAATGGAAGTGTCTACCTCTACAAAGAATGCTTCCTGGATTTTAAGATTTCTTTAAATCAATAGGTCAATTTGAAGAGAATCAGCATTTTAACATTGTTGAGTTATCCTATCCATGAACATTGTATGTCTTTCCATTTATTTGGTTCTCCTTGAATTTCTCGCACCAGTGCCTTGAGGTTTTCATTATAGATGTCTTGCACATATTTTGAACAACCGAGTGCATTTTTTATGGTGCCCATCAGTTTTAAAAAATGGTTCTTTTCACCAGGAAATACTTCATTCTTTGCTTTATGGTGGAGCAAACTGTTTCTTAGAGTAATTGCTACATTTCATTTCCGGCTCTGAACAGGCTTTGAAGATTCTGCCTAGCATCGCAATGCTCATGAAGAGTTGGGGGACCGGGGTTTGCCGATCCCTGAACTCCTACAGATGCCTATGTAAATCTTAGAAGACTCCGCAGGGTTAGTGTGGGTCCTGTTTGTCTCCTGATCTTGGAGAATGCTCCCTCTGTAGGACAGTTTGAGAACAGCAGGCACGAAAGAGATGGGTTCCCTGACTGCGGTGGGGATTTGGGGAAGGCGCACAAACCACCCTTCTGAGGGCTCTAGAGGCAGCCTCCTGATGCTCTTGCTGACTGAATTGAGATGACGATGAGCAGGTAGAGGGAGGTGAGGCCGTTCCTAACATCCTACAGCGTCAGAAACCCTGACTCTACCCACATACCCTCTCTGGTAGCCGCCCTGCTAGGAGTCTGACTCTTTGAGCATTTGCTCTCTGGAACCAATCACAGAGTAAGTCTGGACAAAGTCCAGGGTGGTTCAGGGGGGATCGTGTGATCTGGGCAGGGGCTTGTTAGTTCTTCTATTAAATAAATATTCTTTTCTCCTCTGGATGCCATCACTTGCGTCCCCCCACCCCCCACCCCCGTGACATCAGGACTCTGGTCCAGACTGCTGAGGAGTGCACGGTGGAAAACTTACCCCTTGAGGTTGCCTGAATGCAAGAATGGACAGACACACTTTATACTATCATGGTCATCACAGTCCTTTAGAGGAACAGCCAATACAATGAGAACACGTTACTAAGGGGTGCAGCATGTCTTCCACAATTCTGCCTGAATCTGTATGGTGACGTTGAGAACCTTGTACTTGCTCAGTCCGTGAAGCTGGATGCCTCAGCAGTTCAAAACCTGGCGGGTACCTGAAGAACCATCGGTCTTCAGTACATACTGGAAGAATGGCGAATATAGATTCCAGTGTCCACAAACAGCAGCAGATTCCGAGTGGATCCACTCGCCAACAAGGCATGAAGGCGGGCAGGAAAAGGCAACACTGCTTGTTTTCCTTCAGGTCTCTTTATATCGGGGCTGCAGTCAGAAAGTGCTGCCTTCTAGGGGAGGATCTTCCTCTCCAGTTCATCTTTCCAGAAAGTAGCCTCATAAGCCTGTCCAGAGGAATGCACCACGGTCGTCCAGTGTACAGTAAGCACATTTTATGGAGAAGATGCTGCATAATGTAGTACTTTCCTGTAGTGGTTGGTTCATGTGTGTCAACTTGAGACAAGCTAAAATCATCAGAGAGGAAGGAGCCTCGGTCAAGGAAATGCCTCCATGAGAGCCAGCTGTAAGGCATTTTCTCAACTGGTGATCAGTGAGGGGGGCCCAGTCCATTGTGGGTGGTGCCATCCCTGGGCTGATGGTCCTGGGTTCTATAAGAGAGCAGGCTGAGCAAACCAAGGGAAGCAAGCCAGTAAGCAGCACGTCTCTGAGGCCTCTCAGCAGCTCCCGTCTCCGGGATCCTGCCCTGTTTGAGTTCCTGTCCTGGCTTCCTTCAATAAAAGCAATGTGGAAGTGTAAACCAAATAAATGCTTTTTTCCCCAACTTGCTTTTTGGTCATAGTATTTTGTCGCAGCAATAGAAACCCTAACTAAGACATTTCCCTACACGCTCCACTTTCTGCACATAGGACTTGCCCACAGCAGCTCCTGTAGGAATCACCAGGCTCTTCCTTCACTCCCTCTTCTTGGCCCTCCTTTCTCCTCCTCATAGACACTCCGTGGACAGGTGCCTCCCCAGCTGTGAGATCTGCAGTCAGGAGAGCTGGCCATCCCCACAGTCAGATGTAGAAAGAGGACTCAGTGTCCCCTTTCTGCCCTCTCCTCATGGATGCCCATCTTTTCAGAAGCCTTTTTAGTTCCACTCCACATGTCCCTCTACCCCTTGCCCTGCAGCTCAGCCCAGCCCCAGCCATGTTTGGCAGCTGGGCTCATTATCTTTGCAATCTGACCTGGGTAATCTCCAGCAGGGCTGGATTTTTTATTCCTGACCCTTTTCACCTGGGCCCTGATCTTCTTAGACTCCAAGCCTTGGAGGAAGAACGTGAATTTTCCCAGGCTGTGAGGCTGTCAGGCAAAAGCATCACAGAACCTTAGTGACACGCCAAGAAATGATGCACAGATCCTTCCATCTTGCAAGCTGCTCTGGCACCGGGATTACCTGATCCTGGTCCTCTGGGCCTCTGAAATTCTATTCTTTTGCCTAATATGTCCTGTCCTTATAAGGTCATGGGTGTTGGGCACATGGTAACTCTCAATCACCATTGCCTACACCTCCATTCATGTCCTTCATCCCAGAAGGGAGTGTCCAGGTTCTAAGGATCAAGTGCTTTACAACCCCAATTGCCTTACCTTTAAACAAGGCCAGCCCTTCCCCCATATCTTGGCCACCTTCCCAGGCCAGGAGCAAGCAGTTAGGGCTGGCAGTGATTGGCTGGTCCAGTCCAACCTAGCCAGCCCCTCATAAACCCCTCCAGGTCAGAAGTCAGGGACATCTTTACCAAGCTACTGCTGGTGGGTCTATAGGATCCTCTCAGGGTAGAGTGAACACAGCTGCAGGGAGCAGGTGGTCCAGGAGATGGGGATCGCCAGGCAACTGAGTCACGAGTCATGCCCATTCAGTTAGGTCTGAATTCGTCTGTCTTTCCTATGGTGTCACAGTCTGATTTCCCTCTCTTCCTCTTCCTTTTCTTCACTATCATCTCCTCCCCTCTTACCCCTTCCCATGCATTTCTGTGAGTAGCCCTCCTCCTCTCTGCTCTGTCTCTAAAGCCTAAGTGGTAACTGCTCCTGTCCACTGTCCCTTTAAGTCCTTGTTTCTCTCCTGAGCTTTTTTTTTTTTAAATATAAATTAGAAGCCTGGACTGTGGCCCAGTGTGTAGAGTGCTTATCTAACATAGGAGAGGCCCGGAGGGAGGGTACTACAGAGATAGCAGCATGGTTAAGAGCACTGGCTGCTCTTCCAGAGGACTGGGGTGCAGTTCCCAGCACATGCATAGCAGCTCACACTTGTCTGTAACTCCAGTTCCAGAGTTTCTGACCTCCTCACACAGACTTACCTGCATGCAAAACACTAATAAATATAAAATAAAAATAAATTTAAAAAAAAAAGAGGGCCCTGGGTTTGGTCTCTAATTCTGCAAAAACTAAGCACTCTGGCGCACACCTGTAATTATGGCATCAGGGCTGGATTAGGAGGTTTAGAAGCATTAATCATCTTTAGCTACATAAAATAAAACACTGCCTCAAAATAACAAGATACACAAGTTATGATCGTACAGGAGAGTGGATATAGCTAAAGTGTTATTTGGGCTCCAATTTAGAAACAGAAGAAGTTGGTCTGGGTTCGGGAGTGCATATCTTGTAACCCCATCACTCAGGAAGCAAAGGCAGGTGGATCTCTTTGGGTTCAAGGCTAGCCTGGTCTATAGAACAAGTCTATAGAACAAGACTACACAAGAGAAACTGTCTCCAAAAGATCAGAAAGAAAGAAAAAGGGAGAAGGGAAGGAAGGGGTGGAGGGGAAAGGAGGGAGGAAGAAAAAGAAAGAAAGAAAAGAAAAAAAGAAAGAAAGAAAGAAAGAAAGAAAGAAAGAGGGAGGAAGGGAGAAAGGGAGGGGGGAAAAGAAGGAAGGAAGGAAGGAAGGAAGGAAGAAAAGAAAGAAAGACAAACAAAGGGAACCAGAGAGATGACTCAGGAGTTAAGAATGTTTCCTGCTCTCCCAGAGGGCCAGCGCCAAGCACCCATGTCAGGTGTCTTACCACCACCTGTAACTCAAGCTATAGGGGAACAGATGCCTTCTTCTGGCTTCTGCTGGCATTCACGCGTGTGAATTCACACTTACCTTTCCCTGGATCTCATATCTGCTCAAGCTCTCCTTCACTCCACAAGGAACACCATACTGCCCAGCTCTAACCACCCCAGTCTCAGCTGTATTCTTGATCCCTAGCTTTGGACTCAGAAACCCCAATTGGGATTTCTTTGTGCGCCAGAAAGTCTTGTTTCTGCTGTGAAGACAGGACTTGCGCTCCACCAGGCTGAGCAACTGGTGGGCAGACTCTTCAGTCCCACAGCCTTCTCACTGGAAAACAGTGCCTGCTATCCTCACAGTCCTTTGGGCAGAAGCTCAGGAGATGATGGGGACCAGGCTGGTCAGATTCTGATTGTGGATTCCCAAATTCACCCTTTTACTTAGTGTACCACATCCACAGAGGAGCTGGAACGCTGGGAATACGTAACTCAGCATCAACCTTGTCCCGCAATAGTCCTAAGAGTCATGTTTTGCCGGTCTATGATGATTCGTCCCTGCACCAAGCTAATTCTACCCCCATCTTGGCCACTTTCCCAGGCAGGGAGGAGGCATCCAGGCTTGACAGGGATTGGCTGGTTTAGAATGGCCCAGCCTCCCAGCCTCCAGAAGCCAGGGAGAAAGGAGTCCCAGAAGAGGAGTGGAAAGGTATGGTAGATTGCTGTTCCTGAGAGGAAGTGTCAGGCTGGGGGGCGGTGACATTGTAGGGACCTAATCTGGAGTAGGGAACGTACAACCCAAGGGCAGGGCAGGGCAGGGCAGGGCAGAAAGCCAGCTGGCCACACACAAATGCCACAGGGAGCCAGCTGGCCTTGGGCATGGTAGCTTCTGAATAACCAAACCCCTGGTTAGTTTTGCATAATTTAGGGAGGTCTTAAGTCCTGATCAATCTCTCTCCTCCCTATGTTTTGCTAGCCCTGCCCCCCCCCAACATCGTGCTCCTCCTTCCCTTCCTCATCTTCTCCACTCTTATTGCCCCTTCCCCTGCACTCCCCTGGATCTTACTCCTCCTCCTCCCTGCTTTGTCCTCTGTCCAGTGTCTCTGGAGACTCCTGCCTCTTTCCTGGACCTCACTGTTCTTCACTGTGCTGTTGATCCACCCAGCAGGATGTCACAGCTGAGCCTGTCCTGGCTGGCACTGGGGCCTGAGTGGGCCTCCCCATGGCATCTCCTGCTGCCCATTGGTGTCCTCTGGCTCCTGGCCCGAATTCTGACCCGAATCTATGCTGTGTATGGGAGCTATCATCGCCTTCGTTGTTTCCCTCAGCCTCCCAAACAGAACTGGCTTCTGGGCCATGTGGGCATGGTAAGTGTGGCATCAGGATGGGGAATGTCAGAGTGGATAGTCTTTTAAGGGGCCAGACATTGGGGCTCAGACTGATGGAGTGGGTTAGCTGATGATCTTTGATATGCCTTCCCTTCTCATCTCTCTGGGCTCCCACTCCAGTCTGCTGTGGCATTTCCAACTGTCTTCCTCACACTGAGGGATACTGAGAAGTTCTCAGGATGGGATCTACAGAGTGAAGACCCATGACCTTTCCTCAGTGTCTGCTTGTTAGAGTTGAGGTCTCCTGGGGGACTGTGGCAGTTCCTTTGTGTGAGCCCATCTCTGTCCTACAGTTCTGTAGTATGGATCTTTGATCTCTCTCCCTAACTGCACAGGTGGGGCACAGCTGGGCTATAGCAGAGTGCAGGCTGACTCCCCACCTCCCTTCCTGGGCCATTTCCTCCTTATCATGTTCTTCTATAAGATAGACCAGTGTTACCTGTTGTTGTGTTACCTGGATAAAATCTGTCCACTCATCCTCCATGAACCTTCCTTGACCCCACACTTTGAACTTTGAGTTCGATCTGCTCTCCCATTTAGGTGGCTTAGCTGCCGTAGTTTGGCTTGCAAATGGCCCAGTGTGGGCTGTGCACATAGGTTCCAGGTGCTCTGAGACTGGTGGTCAACCAGTGGGTGCTGGTGGGTGGCAGTTGCTATCAATTCTACTCCCCCGGAACCTGGCAAGGCTGGAGGTCCCTGGTGTGTGGCCCTTTCTCCAGGGGAAGAACTGGAGATGTTTTGGCCCAGCCAGGGCATAAAAGGTCATAGGCACACAACCTAACTTGTCCACTGGGCCTGAAATGTATACTTGGGCCTTGGGCATGTTCCTGGGAAGAACAAAACAGAGACAATGGTTTCCTTCATCACTTCAAAATCGAGACACAGGTTCACTTATGACGGAAGCTGTGTCACTTTCAGAGGCTGCAGAAGGCGCCGGCTGATGCTCCTGCAAAAGTGACTTAGTTATGGTTTTCTGAAGAAGGGGGACAAGTAGTACACACACACACACACACACACACACACACACACACGGAGAGAGAGAGAGAGAGAGAGAGAGAGAGAGAGAGAGAGAGAGAATGATACATCAAGGAGTGATGGGGACATTCTGAGAAATTTGTCCAAAACTGGTATTGTCATTATGCTGACATCAGAGCCTACTAACACAAACCTGCTATGTGTGGTTTTCTGTGCACCTAGGCTATCTGGTACCAATTGTTGTACAAATTTGTACATCATGGTGCTTTCCTTAACATTGTAGGCAATTTGTTATATCATGGTATTTATGTATCTGAATGTATCTAAACATAGAAAAGTATAAGAAAAATAGTAAGCAACAGAGCTTCTTTAACTTCATTGCAGCCATAAGAGATAAATTCACCTGTGCAGTCTATCTTTGACACAGGATCATGCATCTGCAGTCATGTGTACACACATACATATGTATACATATATGTAAAGCAGGGTAGAAGAGAGGAGGTCCATTGCATTAGGGGAATTGGTTTATGTCTTTGTGGAGATGGAGGAATACCTCACTATGCCATCTGCAAATAGGAATCCAGGCTATGACAACTCAGTCTTGGAACAACAATGTGAAAACCCAGGGGTGTGAAGGGGCTCAGGTGTAAATACTCGAGAGTTGTACAGTAATCTTTTTGTACACTGTGAAGATGTGTCACCCAGATTGGTTTAATAAAAAGCTGAATGGCTGCTGAGCAGTGATGGTGCATGCCTTTAATCTCAGCACTTGGGAGGCAAAGACAGGTGGATCTCTGAGAGCTCGAGGCCAGATAGGTCTATAGAGCGAGTTCCAGGACAGCCAGAGCTGCAACACAGAAGAAACCTGTCTTTAAAAACAATAAATAAATAAATAAATAAATAAATAAATAACTGAATGGCCAATACCTAGGCAGGATTTGGGGGGCAGAGAAGACCCTGGGAAGAAGGCAGAGACGTGAAAGGACACAGCAAGAAGGTGGGCACTATGGAGACGAGGCCATAAAGTCACAAAACAGAAAGTAAATAATAGAAATGGGTTGATTTAAGTTATAAGAGCTAGTAAGAAACAAGCCTGGGCTATTGGCTTAACTTTCATAATTAATAATAAGTCTTTGTGTCATGATTTGGAAGCTGGCAGGTGGGACAGAGAAAGACTTATGACACCAGAGCTCAACATCACCTCAAGGACCTGAATTTTGATATCTGATGCCAGGAGAAGATGGATGTACCAGCTTTGGAAAAGGGATCAAATTTTCCCCTTCTCTGGGTTGGATGGTGTTGTCCACACTGCCTACCAATGCAAAGAATAGTTCTTTTTGAAACACCATCACAGATGCACCCAGAGGTCATGAGCATCCCTACCTAGGCATCTCTCAACCCAGCCAACTCGATCCCTGAGATAAACCACCTCGGGAGATGATTGTGTTTGTGTTGCTTGCAGATAACTCCTACAGAGCAGGGCATGAAGACATTGACTCAGCTGATAGCCACCTACCCTCAGGGCTTCATGCTGTGGATCGGTCCAATGTTCCCCACTATCACTCTGTGCCACACTGACATCGTCCGCTCTATCCTCAATGCCTCAGGTACCCAGGGGAGCTGGCGGTGGTGGGAATCGGAGGGCTTCCAGTTCCTAACCACATATTTCAGCATGGCTCCTATAGTGGTCCAGTCCCTCCTTTCTCCCATCAGCCTCTCTGCCCTCTTCGTAGTTTTACCAGCTCCCACACGACTGTCCTTTCTGCACCTACCTAGAGCTTGGTGTTCTGGGATGTTCCAGGTTCCCAGGTGTCTTCCTTCTAAGATCCTATCCTAGAGGAAGTCAATTCTTGAGATAGAACTTGATGAGATGCCAGGCGGTGGTGGTGGTGCACGCCTTTAATCCCTGCACTCAGGAGGAAGAGGCAGGCAGATCTCTGTGAGTTCGAAGCCAGCCTGGTCTACAGAGTGCCAGGACAGGCTCCAAAGCTATAAAGAAGCCCTGTGTTGAACTCCCCTCCCAAAAAAGAAAAGCACTTGACAGGAACAACCCTAACCTTGTGTTGTCAGAGGGAGTGGGGCCTTGATAGCTAAGTGGAAGGGTGTGGTCTCTGCTAGAATATGTGCAAAAGCTTCCTGGGAAAGGAGTTGTTCAAGCCATGTCTGTGGGCATGAGTAAGAATATTGAAGGCAAGTCCAGGTGTCCCCAAAGGCATCAGAAATATCTGAGACCAAGGCCCAGAACCAGAAAAGAACCTCCCCAGGTTCAGAGCAGAGAGCAAAGAGGCTATTATTTCAATACCATCCAACTCTGCTGAGTTGATCTTTCCACCCTGCCCAGCTGGTTGATTGCCTTATGTCGACTGGTGTCTTGTCAGGGTCCAGAAATCGCCCCGCAAGACACCCGTCACAGCCTAGCCCCTTTCTCCTGCATTCTCGTCTTCCCATCTGGGGACAGACCAGGCTGAGAAGGGAAAGAGAAGCAGCACCACAGCTCTGTCCCTTGCCAGGCATGAGCCTGACACCCTCTGGCTGCCAACTTCTTTCAATTATTCCCTGGAACTTGAGCACCTGAATCGACCACCCCACTTTACTTTTTAAAATATTCATGGGAGGGCATGTTTGTGTGTGCACGTACAGGCATGCATTTGCCGTGGCACATGTGTGGAGGTTAGAGGGCACCTTGGGTGTTGACCCTTGCCTTGCATCTTGCTTGTCCCTCATTGTCTGCTCCTGTATATACACACCACTTGGATAGACCTCAAACTTCAGGGGCAGGTGGACAACCCTCTTGTATCTGACTCCTATCTTACCATGATAACACCGCGATTGCAGGCATGTGTTGTCTCATCTGGTTCGGAGGATTCATGCTCTGGTCCTCAGACTTGTACGACAAGTGCTTTTATCCACCGAGTCACCTCCCCAGTCCAGACCACCCACTTTCACGAAGCCCATGCTCTTTACTCCAGGTGGGCACTGGGCTGCTGGATCCAGCTTGTCCACAACTGAGGTCTCTAGCTGATAATGTAATTTGTATCAGGCGGACAGGCTGGGCTATGAAAATGATGTCCCTTCATCTTTCTAACCTGGACATGCCCTGTCTCATGTCTGATTGTGTTGCTTATGTCTGGGACCCAGAGTCCTTCTGAGAAATGATAGATGCTTTATCTGGCTTGTATCCAAGGTAAATTTTTAAGAATCTCTAGGTGAGATCAGTGGGTCATAACCTGGGTCACACCTGGTTTATTAATTGAGCTTTTGCTGTTTTGAAGACAGTGTTTCGCTGGTTTTGCTGTTCAGTTCAGGTTAGCTTCATACTCTGGATTTTCTTGCTTTAACCTCTTG